AGTGACATCTTTTCTGGCAGTTTAAATAACATAGCCATCGTGTGGATTTCTATTCCCTTCCAGAATTTATACTCTTCCTTTGATTTTAGTATTTCTACAAGGATGCAGTTGAGTTTCTTTTTTTAAAGATCTGTGGTATTTGTTCATATTTTACCACAGGCACTGTACAGTGTGCAATGATTGAATCAGAACAATGTATGTAACCTTCATCCTCTGTGCTGTTGCCAACCTTGTGTCCTGGAATAGTTGTCTCTGACATCCTCCTCCTTCCATCACTAATCTCCACATCCCTCCCTCCCTGAACCTGCCCAGGTTCTAATATCTACTAGGCCACCTGTATGAGAAGAACAGCTTTAGCTTCTACATGTAAGGAAGATTGTACAGATGGGCTGTAATGCCCCCAGGGTCCACCCATGTTGCTGTAGAGTTCTGTTCATACATGCTTTACCCTTGCTTCTTATGAGAAAGTTTGGTTGTGCACAGCTGGATCTTGTGCACAGCAGGTCACCTGGATTCTCAGAAGACTCTTACTACGTCTAGGGGTGGGGGTAGGTTTAGAAATTGCACTTGAAACAAGCAAGAGTTTGGCCTCTTTCCTGGTTTTGTGATCACAAGCTTGGCTCTGCTTTTCAGGTATGTGCATACCGTTTGAAGTGTAATATTTAGTTTCAGTCCAAAGAAAGACAAAACCCTACCTTTTAGTGGTTATTATACTTGCTGAAACAGAAAACTGAAAAATGGTGGAACTTTTGAGAATATGACAGTTCTGGTTTGTTCAGATCAAGCCTTTGGTAAGCTTTCTGAACTTTCTTCTTCCCCAGAGATATGTAATTTTTTTCTAACTTTCTTCTTGACCCAGTATTGTCTATTGACGTAATTTCAAAACCTAAACACAAGAATTTCAGCAGGAAGCTTTTTAGGGCAGGCCAGTCCCTTGTAACTCCTTTATTCTGTCTTATGTTTTCTAGCTTTGGCACCATGTGCTTCTTGGAATGGTGACTGTTGCATGTCAGTCCCTCACTCTGGGCACAGAGTGTTTACACATCTTCTTGTTTCTTGACTCTGGTGCCAAGCTCATCTGTATTGCTGCTGTTTCTTGGTTATGTTGGCCCCTCAGGAGGCCACAGAGGACAAAGAAGTGCCCCGTAGGAACTGTGACTTTTAAAGCACTAGTAGATCATTGACTGACCCAGTCAGTTTTCCTGCTTTTGTGCAACACAAAACTGTTCTGCGGTTTGAAAAGTTGTGACTTGATATTTAATAACTCCATAAGTACTAACTGGCTTCTCATTGGCCTGCTGTTCTGAGACACCATAGAGAGTACTCGTTTTTATTCTTATTTATTTTGTAAGAATTTTATATCAAGGAAGAAGAAAAACAATTTTATTTTTATATGTTTCAAAATACAGAGATCAGGAGGCAAAAATATATAGCAAATGCTATATATACTGCTGGAAACATTGTTCTTATTTTTACTACTTGTAAAGTTTCAGTTTTTAGATTTTTCTAAGTTCTTTATTTTAACCTCCTTTCTTGGTATCCTTTACACAATGTAACTAAGCACATCACCCCCAGTCTTTCATCCATCACTCTGTAAAGTTCACCATAGAACAATCCTCTGTATAGTTCATAGATAGGAAATGTCCATTCCACTCATTAGAACAGGGTGATTTAAGTCAGCCCAGCTTTCTGGTGGTACAGGGATCTCAGTGCTGCTTTCTGAATTAGTAACTAACTGTTAGAAGCTGTGCACATGTGCAGGCATCGGATGTCTTTTTTAGGTAGCTGGAGTTCTGCCTTCTGTAGCCTCAAAGATATCTGTGCTTTGTTAATGACTAAGTCACGATAAATAGATGCTTTTGGGGGCGAGCAGCTAAGCCTTTTTGACAGTTTTGACTCCTTCAATAACTTGATTTGCATACTTCTTATTGTAGGTCATAGTGAAGTGGTTTGTGTTCTGTTTAAGTGTCACTAGAGCATATGTAGACACCATGCCCTTTGCATGGCCTAAAAAAACCAGCTGTCTTCCTTTCCCAGTGGTACTTAACAGCACACATGCATGCACTCGCGTGCACACACACACACACACACACACACACACACACACAGACACTTCTCAAGCTGTGACCTTTATGGAGTTGATTAGCACCTATCTGTAGCACTTGGACTTTGAGTGAGTACCAACCATGAGCCAGGCATCATTCCAGGAAGTTAAGTGTTCTTGTGGTTATATAATCTTTGATGGCACATTGTCTTGTCATTTTCTCTGTTTTTATTTAACAGCCCAGGGTACCCAAATGTAACTGAGAGGTACACATTGATTTTTACAAGTTGCAGGAGAAGGAAGCTGAAGGTGCCACATGCCCCTTTCCACTATGAAGGCAAGGGGCCTAAAATGGCCACAATTTACTTCCTTATCCTTTTGGTTCACAGAGAGAATACCTTCCACCTGTTTCCTATGGCTGGTAGAGCCTCCTGCACACTGGGCAGGTTCTACTCTGTGGGCCCAAGCTTCGTTGCTTCTGCGAATCAGGTAGCACACAAGTAAATGTGGCCCTGCCTGGCATAGCCTAAAGGAAACACAGTGATTCCCACTTTCTCTGCTAACAAGTGGTCAAGGCATATGCTCACAGTAGGCAAAATGCTATGTGGCCTAACCTGTCCATTCTCTGTATTCTCTCTTTTGATCTATCTTCCCAGTATATAGACTGGGCTGACTTTCGATTCTGCTAGCAACTATCCATCAACACGAAGGGGAAGTCAGCATTTCTGTGCTGTCCTAGAGGAGTCCACTTAGCCTTTTGCCTGATGGGAGTTGCCAGGCTGAGATGGCAGTAGCATACTGAGAGTCCTGTCTCTCTGGAAGTATGGCTTGCCATGAGGATGGAAGAAGTATGTGGGAGGAGGGATTTCACAAGCTCTTGAGCCTGAGCAACTAACTACCAGTTCTCACTCAGGAGCCAAAGAAAAGAAGGAGGCACTCCGGTGGCAGCTGGAGGAAGCAGCAGGTGTGTGTATTAGATAACGGACATGTGGAACTCAGTGGAAGAGAGAAGGGACATGACAGTTTTGGCAGAAGTGCTTTCTTTTCTAGTGTCTTACCCTGCAATATACTTATACTGCAATATGCCACCAGGTTTGGAAGAGCTTTAAATGTTTAAAATAACTGGCCAGTGTTCCCAGCATAGCACAGCCCTTGGGGCCCAGGAAACATAAAGACAGGGGGAGAATGGAACAGGTGGGACTGGCAAGTTCAAGCCATACAAGGGAGACCCCATGGCTTCCCTTCCCTTTCCTCTGGCAGATCTTACACCTTGACAAAGTCCGTTTGCTCTTGGGTGAAATGATCCTATTGGGATAAACAGAGGTAAAATTAATCTTCTCCAAGACTCAGAAGACTGTACTGAAAGATGCAGTAACTGCTATGTGTATAATGATTTTCTTTCAAATTATGATTAAATAACTTTTTTCAAAGCTTGAAAAGATACATAGAAATGAGGGGAAATTGATTTTTATTTTTGAGGGTTTTTCCCCATGAAACCCCCCTCCCACCATAATAGCAGATGGGAAGGGATGGGATTGTACCATTCTGATGTTTATTTGCTGACAACAGATCAGTTTCAGCAGATTACGAGGATTAAGGGGATTAAGAGGTAGTTAGAGGCTCAGAAAGCTGAAGAAATAGGCTCCATGCTGAAGTCCCAGGACCAGCTCACCATTCTCATTATATAGCAGTCTGGTGTGTTCTGCCTCCTCCTGTACCAGCAAAGCATGAGTTCCCAGTCTCTGACCTACTAGGTCACATTTTCTGTAAGCTTACTGGAAATCGAAGGCCTAGTCCTGAACCTGCACCCAAGAATCAGGGTGGGTAGGCATGATGCCAGTATTGTAGCTGTCCAGTTGTAGCTCCAGTGACCATCAGAGTAACTAGATCAACAGTAAAACTTACAGAAAGACAACAAGTACATCTAAAAATCAAAAGCAGGTGGCTTTGTCATTTCCTTTCCCAGGGGACCTGGCTATATCTGCATTATTATTGGTCATCAAGCTGGCCTCTCAAACTAGTTAGTTCTTCTCTCAGACTGTCCAAGATGTGTTGACAAGATTCTGTGACAGTTGGCAAATCCAGGAGATTTATGAGTGATTCATCTGTCCTTTACCATACTCGGCTGCAAGACTATTGAAATCTCTGTGCCCTTTGTTGACTGACATTGAGGATTTCAGAACTACGATGTCGATCTTTCCTGTACAGAAGAAACCAGCTTTGTTTCTTTTTACAAAATTTAAGTTTGGCATATTTTGAATCATTACCTTGCGTTAAGATTTTTCCCTCAAGTTAGAGAGGAATAAAGAAATACATTAGTTAATCACTAAAAATTTTACTGTTGTTCTGCAAAGCAAGCAACATTGTTTTTAGGTTTCAGCAGCCTTGTAGTGGAATTGTAATTCTTGTAATACTAAGATGACATAAAAAGCTAGGGTATGACTTCTCTGTCTCAAGCCTTTTTGCAGGTGTTGGCCAGCACTGTCTCTGTTTGGGATAGTCAGGATCCAAAAGAAACACAGAGAGCGGGTAAAGCAAGTGCTAAGATGATGCTTGGGAACCTTGACACTGACGTGCACAACTCTTGTTTCTTCTTCGTTGTTGTTTGATTATTTCTTCTCCCTCCTCCTCTTCCTCTTCTTCCTCCTCCTCCTCCTCCTCCTCCTCCTCCTCTTCTTCTAATTTTTTTTGGATCCCTCAAATTTTATTTAAATTTGTTATATATCCTGCTTGCAAACCAAAGCATGAAGATTGACATGCCCATGGAAAAAAATCAGGAAACCAAGTTAAAGAGCTTTTCCTCAGTTCCTAGGCAACAAAAGACGAGTTTAAAAAAAAAAATACCAAACTTCTCCTTTTTCTTGTTTTTTTGACCTGAGTAAATGGTTCCTTTTAATACTTTACTGTATATGATCTTCTTTAGTTTTATTTATGTATTTTTTTAATCTTTCTACAGGGAGTTAAATACCTGTGTATTCCAGCAGCAGACTCACCGTCTCAAAACCTGTAAGTTTTTTTTTTCTGTATTTTTTTGAGAAATTAAAAGCAAGTGTAGTGTGTGCTCCAGCAGTTCTTGAGCCAAATGAAAAGCAAATACAGGGATCTGAAGGCAAATAAGTAAGCACTGTAAGAGTCTGGGGAGTTGTTAGTGTCCCTGCATATCTGCTCTCCTGAGGAGGGGAGCGGGAAGTCTACAGAAATCAAACTGGGAAGCCAATGACAAACTATAGCTGGAGGCACCTTGTAACTTCCCAGTCCTACTGTGACTCACGGAGGCTGGGAGGTCCACAGGAAGGGTCTTTTAAGTCAAGGGAGAAGGTTCAGTCAGTAAAGTGCCTTTTCTGCAATCCCTTGGACCAGAGTTTAGGATCCAAGCATCCATCTAGCACAGACACATCTTCAACCCCAGTGGTAGAGACCTAGAGATAAATTGATCCTCAGAGTACATTGTTCAGCTAGTCTAGCCAAATTAATGAGTTCCAGATTCAGGGAGAGACTGCCTCAAAAACTGAGGTGAGAAATGATGGAGAACACAGTGTACAGCAACTTCTCACCTCCACACACATGGACTCTAGTGTTGCAAGCTTGAGGACCTGAGTTCAGATTTCCAGAGCCTACAAAAATGGGAGGTATTGGAGGATCTCTGGAAGATGTTGGAGGATCTCCGGAAATTCATAGGAGAACTTTCCTGATCTGAATGGTGTAATCCCAGACCATTGAGAGACTGTCTTAATCAAAAAGTGGGAGTACTTGAAAGACCATGTATACATGAATGTGTGGGCATCTGTGTCATGCTGTATACACTTGGAGGTCAAAGGACAACTTACAGGAGTCAGTTTTCTTCTTCACTTAGGGTTCCAAGGATCTGATTCAGGTTCAGGCTTGTGTAGAAAGCACCTTTATCCACCAGCATGTCTCCCAGGGTCGTCTTAGTCATTTTAACAAGTTAAGAAGAATTCAGAATTGCAGCTCACCTTAATGGCAGCATCTGCAATGAGCAATGGTGCAGCCTTGATAGGATGGGATGGAGCCTTGGAGACCCAGTTATAACTGCAACAAGCCCCCTTGGTCTCAATTAGGCCCAGCATAGATAGGTGATAGTTTCCCCAGGCCTGTACTTGACCCTTGCAGGCTAAGATGCTAGTAGCACTATCACTCTGTGAATCCTACACTTCATGAAGCCTCTGATTTTCTGGCTGCCTTAGCCTGGATACTGGGGATCAGCAAAACAGCCCTCTGCATCCATGTGTTAATGTTTCATCAGAGACACTCCAGATTGGTACTTTTGAGTCTGGAAGACCACAGGGTTCATCCCCCACGGTGTACAAGTGCCAGAGTGCCAGTGCATACAAATTTTGTATGTCAGTGAGGCAGACTACATACTTGCTTTCTGTCTCAACTGACCAGCTTCTCTAAAAGATGCTGGAATGTTGGCCATCCTTAAGTCTTCAGTGCCAGAGAGCAGAGAGGTCATGGATTACGCTGTGACTTTATAGACCTACCTATTTCAGGACAGGTGGTATAGGTCAGTGGGTAGCTGGACAAGGGACAGAGGGTCTAGAGTTAGACCAGGAAAGGACTGAGAAAGTGGGAAGTTAATACAGACATTTTCTCCCCAGGCCAGGTTCTGTCTCTACCCCAACTCTTGGTCTTTCACAGAGAGTTGAGACTTTAAGACTGAAAAAGGGACAGGGGAAACTAGGAAAACAAAGTAGTAGTCTCATCTGGAAGGAGAAACAGCAACATTGGAGAACTTCCTTGGTTACTAGTCGTGTCAAGAAACAGAAGTGGTTGGAAGGGCATGGTCCCTGCGGAAGGAAGTGAGGCGCTGCCTTTCTCCGAAGACCACAGCAATCTTCTACCCTTGTTTTGGTGACTATTTTTGGAATGATTGCTTTGCTCTCATCTACAACCAAGATTCGACCATACTGTCGAATGTGTCAATACCTGACTGTCAGGAATTAAGCTGGAACTTATCCTGGGTATGTGCTGTCAGGACACGTGGCCTCTGGTCTTTGAGCTACTATTAAGACTTTTCGAGGAACTGAGTTCTGCCTTCATCATCCATAGCAGTAATCTCATATAAGTACTGACAGTCCTGCACTATGGCGGGTGAGCAGGACAACCAAGTATCAGAAAATCCCAGAGTTCAAGCTAGTCTCACTATGTGAGGTCGTTTTAACTAGTTACATTCAATTCTCATCTGAAAATGCCCATCTTTAGGATTTAGAATGGCACAGTCAGATCTATATGAGCATATTTCTGTGAACTCTAGGCACTTTCCAAAGTATGAATCTATTTCTACTATAGTGGGTATCTTCAGAGTTATAGGAACGATAAATTGAGATAAGTTTTGGTGACAGCTTAAGTTTTATTTACCTGTTGCCAGAGAAGATGGCTGGGTGTCTTCATCTCTTTCTGTTACTATAATAGAATATCTGAGACTGGGTGACTAATACAAAAAGGAAATAAGTTTGATCCCACAGTTGAGCAGGCCTGAAGTCCAAGATTAGGCTGCCACATGTGTTGAGAGACTTGTTACTACTTCATAATACTGCCGTGGAAAGGCAAGAAGGATGAGTGTGTGTGGAGGTGGAAGGGAAGCCAAGTGCTTGAGCTGGCCATGGAGACACTACCTCCATGACCCAGGCACTTCATACCAGGCCCTATTTCCCAATACTGACTGATTTAGGAGTTAAGGTCCCAATAAACAAATTGAGGGAAGGGCCACTCAGATTATAACAGTGAGTGTGATTCCACAATTGAGTCAAATGCTTGCTCTTTCAATGATGTGACTTACTTAGGGTCTCTTGTGTTCACTACTCACAACATACTAGGAGTTCTCAGTGAATGGTCACCTTCTGTATCAACCAATATGGGTGGTTGGGAGATCAGGGTTCTGTTTTGTTTAAATGTATTTAGATCTAAATACATTTTAAATTCTTTATTTAATTTTACATGTATGAGTATTTTGCCTGTTTGTATGTCTGTGTACCATGAACATGCAAGCCCACAGAGGATAGAAGATGGCCTTGAATCCTCTGGAACTCAAGTTACAGACAATCGTTAGCTGCTATGTGTACACCAGGAACTGAACCTAGGCCCCCTAGAAGATCAGCCAGTGCTCCAGATGCTGAGACTAAACCATCATTCCAACCCCAAGATAATTCTTAGTGCTAGGGTAACTAAAGCAAGAGAAAACTTCAGTAGTTTATAAAACTTGCTCTCAGTAACCCCGATGCTTATCAACAGGCAATCTCTCATCTGACCACACTGAGTTCCTGATGCCCCTGGTTCCCTCTCTTCAGTGACTAACCAGCTCCTGGAAATCTGTACTGCTTACTGTTTTAAACATAGATAGTAACTTTTAAGACGATTTCTAAGTTTGGGTGAAATGTTTATTTCATAAATCTTAGACTGGGGACATAACTCAGTGATAGAATGCTTATTGCCACGTGGCAAGATAAACATTAAATATTTCCTTTTCTACAAAGCCCTGAACCTGTAGGTATTTAGGCTAATTATGCTTAGTAAGAGGTGTGTGACCTTTGACACTTCAGTCACCTGATAGGCAGTTGCTCTGAACTGCAGAAAAGTTGGTTTTCTGTCTTGGCCTTAATCCTAGAGAATCTTCCCCCATCTGACCTTTGACCTTCCATGAACTTGAAATGCAGAAAGCTGGCTTGAGATAACAGGAGCACAGAATTTTAGCTCAGTTCCCCCAGCCACCTAGCCTGCCCAAGTCAGGAAATAGAAAAGTTCAAGTTCTCAGTCTCCCAATAACCTCACAGCCCTAGTGTGGTGTGTTTTGCATGATGTTGTCTGTCGTAACAAGAGATATGCTGGAGTGGGTGTTAAGTGTGTCAGGTGGCCAGTGCTGGAGCTTAGTACATGAAACCTGTTTGAGTTTGTTTTCTCTATGGGTTTTCTAGAGCAAGTCACTTTAATCTTTGCAGTTAATAACCTGGCAGTCTTCATCGGAAATGATGTGTGGAATTCGTTATTTTGTTAATTCTGTAATAGTTGTAAAATAAGATTGTGTTTTCTCTCTATTCAAGTAAGGAATGCTAATGTGTTTTGAAGGTAGATGTTTAGATATGTATTCACTTGAATTTGCTTATTTTGTTTTTATTACAGAGTAAGTTGGTGTTTGTAGCCAAGCAGCACTTAGTGGATTATTTCTTTTTCTGTTCTCTGTCAATTCTGTGGGAGCTCACTCAGGCTCTGGGGTCATAGGATTGCATTGTAATGGTAGTCTCTGTGGTGCTCTGTGGTTTCAGAGGCAAGCAGGTCTCTGTTTTTGGAGGTCTTGTGGAGAGACAAGTGTCAGTACGCTGAGCTCTGTATGGGTATCAGGAGCGTCCTGGTCTTAGGACCACCACGTTGTTTGCCAGTGTTGTCTTAGGAGAACTGATATTGTCTGTCTTCCACTTTCCTTTGATTTGTCTTTTTTCTACTTCTTTTATTTATGAGCAGTTTTTCAAGATCAGAGATAGATGAGCCTTGTCACCACTGTAGCTGTGCATCCAGATGGTTCTTGAGGTCTTTGCATCCCTCAGTGATGCTCTCCTAGTAGGGGGTAAATGAGAACTCTGGAATAGGTGTTTGCTACACAACAGCAATCATTCCATCTAAGCAAGACCCCTCTGACCTCAGACTGTTCTTGTTACTATTGAGTTAAATCATTCTTTTGTGAAATGTTGCCATGTTAAAGGAGTTTTATTTTCTTGTTTTTTAAGCTATCTTTTTAAATGAATGTATCTAGCACAATGAAAAGTATGGTAACACAAGAACATCCTCCAGGTCTTTTCTAATGGTGACAGTTGCTGAGGCATAAAGTTAGGGAGTCACTGTTACATGTGTAAATTGTAGATGTTTGGTGTTAGGGGTTTGCTTTCAGAGATCTAGCTGTGAGATGGGCAGGGGAGCCTGGGGTGTTTGGACCAATTCAGCCCTAAGAAGAATCTCCCAACAAAGAGTGCTCTACCCATTTGCTTTGAAAAGGACCATTGGTGCGCTTGGATTTAGTTGGAGAGGAAAAACATCTTGTATTTCTGTGCCATTTCCTATCAGCACAACCTCATCTGATACCACTGGCTTTGAAGTAAGACCCACCACCATTTCAGGTGGCCAAGTCATTGGGTTCCTACTGCAGTAAGCAAAGCCCCAAACCTAAGGCCTCTGTCACATCACACTAGGGATTAGAGCGTCTAAGACCATGAGTGTTAGAGCAAGAAGTCTGCACAAAAGAGTGTCATGTAGTATGACTTTACTCTCCATCCAGCATTCTTTACTGAACTCTCAGAAGATCAGCAAGATTCATGTGGTCACTCTCAGCCTCTTATATGGAGAATGAGTAGTTGAGGTACTAGTTAGTCACTGAAAAGCAAGAAGGTGATTTGCAACTACTGGGCTCCCTGCTTAAGCCACTTAAAAAACATCTCTCCACCAGAGCTGCCCACCACCACTGAGGTGATCTTTTAGAGCCACTGGCAGTAGCTCAGATGATCACATCTATGCGTTGTTGAGTTAGTATGCTATACTTGTGGGCATGCTTCCTACTGCATACAGGCCTTCATACATGTCTTTGTGTGGAAGTAAGGTAACTGCCAACCAGAAGAAGAAGAACAAGAGGGAACTGGTGTTCATGTAAACAGCATGTGGTGGGATGTGGCTGCAGATCTGTGCTTCTGCTTCAGACTAGAGTTGAAAATAAAAGAACCCAGACTGTGGGTATTTCCCACTGTGGAGGAGGGAGTTTAGTGACCAGAGCTTGGACTTATGTCATTTTTTTCCCTGGAAATAACCCACACGCACCTCTCTCTGCAACACCCAGTTTTAAACCAGAGCAGCACTGGGCCAGCCCACCTCCTGGGCTTTCTTGTAAAAGGCATTTCTAGGAATGTCTGCCTGGCTTGGCCTGGTGCCTGATTTTTGTGTCTGAGTCAAGTCTCATGGTAGAGTTCTACAGGTCCTCCTGAGGCATCACTGTGTCTTAGACTGAGACAGCTGCCTGCCCTGGGGCTCTACAGTCCTTGGCCCCAGCACAGTGGTGGCCAGAAACAGCATCCTGTCTGTCATTGTTGATCTAGCCTCTATCTCATACAGACATGCAAACCAAAGGATGCAAAGGCTATCCTTCTACACGCTATTGTGGGCTCAGTACAGGTTTGGGTGTTGCTCAACCCAGATGCAGCAAAGCCAGCTCTTGATCCGGCTTCTGCCTCTTAGTCTATAGGAAGCTTGATTTCATAGTGTGTGAGTTTAGGACATGTAGGTCTGAAAAACAGATATAAGAAGTTGCTCCCAGGGAGGCCTCAGTGGAGGAATTGGCTTGACTTCTCAGCAAGATCTTAATGAGCCTGTAGAACCAGTAACTTCCTGAAGACTCCTGAAGAGTCCTGTGTGCACTCAGAGGAGCTCAGCTGGCTTTTGCACCACTGTGCTCATTGCAAAATGCTCTAAGGCAGTCTGTGGCTTCTTCCTTCACCTGGATGGCTCTCATTCACTGCTTTCTGGTTTTGCTTTTGTGGCTCTGGTGTTCTTTTCCTTGTCCGTGCTTATTTCCCAACCAGAAGGAAACCTACTAAAGGTAGAACCTGCAGTGGGAAAGGGACCCCAGCACACCCTTGACAACCACATTGTGGACAGACTTATGGATAAAGGAATATGCCATCTGGCCATCCCCTGGTGTTCAACTGGTCCTGAATCCAGCCTCTGTCTCCTGCAAGGAGGATGGACACCACTATATAAGCCATGAGGGAAATCAGAGCCTAATGTCTCAGGTCTATTATTGTAAAAACAACAACAACACACCGTGACCAACAGCAACTTAGGGAGGGAAGACTTTATGTCATCTTAGAGCTTGCAGTCCATCATTCTGCAAAGTCAGGGCATGAGATCATGCAGAGGTCATGGAGGGATTCTGCTTACTGGCTTGTTCTTCATGGCTTGCTCAGCCTGCTTTTGACTAACACACAGGGCTTCTGCTCAGGAGTGTCACTGCCCTCAGGGAGCTGGATCCTCCCACATCGATCATTAATTAAGAAAATGCACTACAGGTTTACCCACAGGCCAATCTGGTGAGGACATTTTCTCAATTGAGGTTCCCTCTTCCAAACATGACTCTGGCCTATATCAGGTTAGTGTAAAACCAGCCATCACAGGACACTTTGTACCTAGGTGAGGTGGCCTGGGCCTTTAGTCCCTCAGTTAGGTGCTGGTTTGAGGAAGAGGGCATTGCCTGTAAGTAGACTCTCTTTGATGGTGTCTCAGGGAGAGAGGTTGTCGAGAAGCCTGCAAGTGGTTCTCCCAGGGCTGCCAGCAAAGCTCTGGAGTCCTGTGGGAACCTGGCTTCCCATACTGCAACACTTTATCCTGGAGTTCTGTGCTTCTACAATAGCTCTTAGACTTCTGTAGCTGTCTGCCGGAGGCTGGAGACTAGAGACTAGATGTAGCACTTTCCTTTCCTCAGAAAAGGGAGAGCTTTGCAGAACTCCTCTCCCAGAGCCTTCTTTCCTTCTCTGTGGCCACAGCTAGCAGAAGCAGAATATTTTCAGAGCCTGAGAACTTTGCTGCCTAAAACTGAATCAGTGTCCAGGATAGCTACAGTGCTGGAGCTGGGTCAGAGGCATCCTGGCCAACTGCAGGTGGCTGGTTCGGCTTGTAGCATGAGGAGCTGTGCTCTCTGCTGCAACAAACACATGCAACCATGTCATGCTCTCATCAGCTGTTAGTCTGCTCCTGCACTCGCCCCTCCCACCTCTTCATGCCCCTGGCTCTGGGGTACAAGTGCTGCCAGGTGCAGGGTTTTAGCAAGGACATGGTCTTGCCTGCCATTGACCATTTGGGAACACTTCAGTTCTCTGAGTCCTGTGTTTACATCTAAGAGTCTTTTTTCCTAGAAAAAAAAAAAATCACCAGAAACTGGTGTGGTGTGCTGTGCTGTGCTGTGCTGTGCCGTGCCATGCCGTGCTGTGCTATCTAGAGATGTCTGTAGCAGTCGGGTGTCCTTAGGTACACTTGGACTCTCCACTTGCAGTGACACTTGTTGGCAGGCATGGATGTGTGTGTTGTATATGCATTCATCAATGAAAACACTTCCTACCTCTTGCCAGCATAACCCCACTGAGCTTCCATTCTGACTCATTTGTGCTATCATTCTTCAGGGAGAATTATCCCCCCACACACACACACACACATACACACTTGTCTCTCAGCCAATCATAAGCCCTGGCAAATGGCTGGTATTCAGTGTTTGTAGATAAGTGAATTGGGCACATAGGCAGCTTTGGAGGTTTCAGTGGTTTGGAAACCATCTGAAGGTAGAATCTACCTGGTAAAAGGCTCTATGCCTTTACCTCAAACCTTCACTTGCTATATGCTACAGTGCAGATCTCTGCTCATATGGTGCAAGGCACACACATCACCTGGGAACTTGACGGTGGCTCTCCTGAATAGTTGTGAGCTGAACAAGTACCCAGAAAAGAAGTGACCCAAAGGGATAAGGGTCAGAAGAAAGAACTTTGACATTCACCATCATTGCAAACTGTAGTTTGCAAAGCATACCGATACTGTGTCACGGTAGCCATCATCCTTGCTTTCTAAGCCATGCTTCCAGTGCCACACAGAGTGGCAGAACAGGGTTGAAACTAGAAGTTCCTTTCCCCACAGCTCCAGTGCATATAGCACTTGAGTGATGAGACTGACCAGCAGCTCTTGAGAGATCATTATGGGTTGTGCATCTAAGGTTTTCATGGGGTCAGAAGTAAGCTGGCTTCTAGGATTTAGACATCTACACAATAGGGATATCTTCCTCATCTGAGCCACTGTGGCTGTATAGTTCACAGCTGGTGTGACAGGCAGAGTGAACATAGGAGGCCAAGCAAGAACTGGAGTTCTTGTGCCAGTCAGCAGCAGCCATGTGATTCAGGGATGGCTTGAAGATAAAACTCTCAGCCTGCCTGTGCATGTACAGCTGAGGCAGCACCAGCCCCTGTCCTGGCTCTAGATGGGCAGACCCTAAGACATCTTAGGAAATCACAGCAATTGTCTCCTTTCAAAAGACGTTAAATAGTAAATGTTACTTGTTACTTTTTTTTCTGCATAGGACAAGACATTTCAAAGAAAGTATTAAATTCATTCACGAGTGCCGACTGCAGGGTGAGGGCTGTCTCGTACATTGGTATGTATGACTCTTGCTTAATACAGTGTCATAAGTTGATGTCTTTCTGTCTTAGTTGCTTTTCCAATGTTGTGATAAAATGCCGTGACCAACACAACGTATAAAACGAAGCATTTAATTGGGGGCCCAGTGTTCCAGAGAGTTAGAGTTTATAACTGTCACGAGGAGCAGCATGGCCACAGGTGTGCAGGCGTGCAGGCGTGCAGGCGGTGTGCGGATGTGCAGGCGTGCAGGCGTGGTGCTGGAGCAGTATTTCACATGCATGCTGTACATCTGCCCCACTCTCCAGTAGTCCCTGTCTTTTTCTGGAAGAAAACTGACTGGCTTTGCTTTTGTTTTTGCTTCAGTCACTGCTAGGTTTTCTAGAGGTTGTTGTCAAGGTTAGTGGCACAAAAGACTGTCATTTCTAGCATGGCATTTCATTAGAACAGCCTTTCACATGTCAGCTGGTCTTGGTAAGCTCATATCGGGCCCCAGGGTGGTCACCCCAAAGCCCTGCTTCCTCCTACCCACTCCAGCAGCAACTGTGGGCACTGAGAGATATATTTCTCTAATATCAAGCTAATTCCTTTCCATTTGCCAGTTGGGGCTTTTGTTGGATGTGTTTCGCTCTAGTAGATTACTTTAAAGTGATCCAAGCATACTTAGAAGTAAACATTTTATTGACAGCAATCCACCTGCCCTGTATGTTTTCTCATAAGTGGAAGGTCAACATTCCATAACCATGGGCTCCAAACTCATGGAAAAACTCAAATTCATATTCATCTATGAATCAAAAATATCCGGGAAAAGTATATCTCTACCAAACACATATGTGTTTTTCTTGTCCTTATTTCTCAAACAGTGTAGGAGAACAGTGGTGCACTACACTGTCACCTACAGATGCATGAAAATGCTTGGTAGGATGTGTCAGGTAGCACTATGTACTATGCCCTTCTTAGAAGACGGTGGACAGACACCATGGATTCTGATGTCCACAGTGAGCTCTGGGACCAGTGGCCTGTGGGCAGAAAGGACAACTGCACTTACACACTAGCACACACAATGACAAGAAAGGCAAGCCAGCATACTTAGTAAGTGTAGTGTTTGCACAGTGCTCTGATCTTTGCCTGGGGAGCTCTAGGTGAGCATTCGCACTGGCAGTGATAATAATGGATTATAACATTCTGGAGCAAGGGCTCTGCCATAGTTTGAATGGAGACTGATCATCTCTCCTCTGTCTTAAGTGATGTGTGACATTAGCTAACTGAAAGTATAAGTCTTTTGACTGAGTGAAAGCACCCACCCTTGCAGCATAAACAATATGAAGTAGTAACTCTTGGTGCCTATGCTGGTGACAGCCCTGACAGAATACAATAGACAGAAAAGCCACACCTAAAAGCCATGAGCAAGTAACCTATAAAAGCAGAAAGGACAGGAGATATTTCAGTAGCTTTAAGAATGGTGATTTGCAGATGTACACAGGTTTATGTTTATAAATATTAAATAATGTGCAGTTTTTTATTTTTTGCTAAACTGTTATTTATAAGTAGGTGGTATAGCCAATACAAATTATAGTTGTTTCAGCCTTCCATTACATTTGATTTAAAGTGCTTTGGAAGTCCAATTGGGGACCATTGATATAGATTCTGAAACCCCAGTCTCTGAGTCTCTCCAGACTCCTGGTGAATTCATATAAAGAACTGTAGCCTAAGGGGATATATTTGTTTAAAACTCCCTTGTGTGTTCCTAATAAAATGCTCTGGTGACAAGCAAGTACTGAAGGGGAGGAGGGTACTATTCTTGTCATTAGAATACTCTAGACCTGATATTCCAAGAATTGCTGTTTAATGTATTTGTGTATACCTGAAATTATCAAGAAAACAAGACATTCCTGAAGTTTCCCTCTGTTCAGTATTTGATAGAGCACATTGAGGAAGCTTTCCTTGCCTTAACTTGCATATTACCCCTTGATGGTGATAACCAAGCAACAAACCAACCATTCCTGCTTGCAAGCACCCTGCCTGTTGCTTTGGAGCATGGAGTATTCGGTCTGCCTGCCATAGTGCTCTGCTTGGTTAGCTCAAAACAAATATAGAAGCTAAGATTTGGCAAGTACTCTTTTTTTTGTTTGTTTTGTTTTCTGTTTTGAAGATTGGTACCCAAACTCTTGAGCATGCTAGGCAAGTGCTCTGCCATTGAACTACATACCAGGCCCTATCATGATCTCATCTATGGTAGTTATGAAAGCCATGAAGCCTTCTGAGCCTAGTTCAGGTTTTGGTTGGAATTGTTGCATAGGGTTGGAAGCCCCAAGCCCCTCTCTGTGCCACAGTTACATTATTGCCCAAGGAAATTGAAAATATCCAGATCGTAGAAAAACTATATTTATTACTATAGAAAAACTGTGGAAAATAAGGCTGAAATTCCTGTAGAATGCTTGAGCCAGCATCTGCAGTAGAGGACAGTTATTGGTGTGATACTGAATAATTCTCTAGTAAGCCTGGCCTGCTCCCATGAAACCCTAAAGGCAGACAGGCTCTTTAAAATAGGGTCCTTTAGATCGGTGGAGATGGATCCTCAGTTTCCAAACTGCCCTTGAAACATGTGGCTGTCTCTGTCCTGCAGCCTGGCTGGGGTCTCCAGGAGTGTGACCCTGGTGATCGCATACATCATGACTGTCACCGACTTTGGCTGGGAAGATGCCTTGCACACCGTTCGTGCGGGGAGGTCCTGTGCCAACCCCAACCTGGGCTTCCAAAGGCAGTTGCAGGAGTTTGAGAAACATGAAGTGCAGCAGGTGAGTGGCCTTTGGGGGAACGTTTCACATAGACAGCCACACTGGGCCATGCTTACACTTTGAGAATTGTGGCACTTGGAACCGGAAGGCCCACAGAAGTCCTTGGGTCCCAGGATTCCCCCTGCATCCCTCAGAGAGTCCTGCATCCTTTGTGCTCCCGCACTGCAGCCACGAGATCTTAGGTTTCCTGTTTTGTTGTACCTGGTACTCCATATCTGCTTGTTTCTCTCTCTGGGTGTAGTTAATCTTCCTGGTTTGGCCTATTTTCTTATTTTTATTTTTTTTGTTTTGAATTCATCTCAACCTTCAAGCTTTCAAACCAGATGAGAGTGAAGGGGGTTATTTTCCAGTACTCATCGTGGTAACTCAGGTATTCTCTTCTTTGCTGGAGTAAAACAAGGTCACCTTTCTACAAGATGATTCTGAATTGCACACTTTATCTCTTCCTGTTTTCCTCCCTGGATTCTTTTAATCAGTGCTGGTTATCACAGGCAGATGGCACAAGAACATAACTGTTCCAAGTCTGCTAAGTAGATGCATAGTCAGCAGATTTCCAGGTCATGAGCTCAGATATCAGATAGTTAAAGGAACAGCTATTTCCCTTGTTTGCCGTTGGCTGTGATTGATGCCCAGTGACCTTTTATTTCCATGTTTATTTGTGGAAACTTCACCATTGCTTAAGAGGCAAGAGTCCCTAGAATTTGTATGCGTGACACTTGGGATTTCTTTCCAACTTTTCCAGTATCGGCAATGGCTGAGAGAAGAGTATGGAGAGAACCCTTTGCGGGATGCCGAAGAAGCCAAAAATATTCTGGGTAAATATAAAGAGCAAGGGCGCATGGAGCCCCAGCCTAACAGCAGGCGGTGGAGCAGCTTCTCAGCCCTGCCTCCTCTCACCTACAATAACTACACAACAGAGACCTAACAGACAGAGCTGGTGTTTGCCTTCCCGCTGCGGGTCTTCTGGGTTGCCTACCGTGTGCTGGTGTGCCTGATGTGCTGGCTCGTGCCTCTGAGGACAACAAGAGAGGTCGCAGCGAGCTGGAGCACTCAGGGCTCCTTCCCAGAACCCCGCCCTACTCAGGCTTTTTCACTCTCCCATCTTCGCCCAGTCTTTTCCTCACCTGAACTTGCCCAGCCTGGGATGCTGCCCGGCCACTATATTTCTCGAGTGTGTGCAAGAGTGTGGATGTGCATGTATGTGTGTAAGAGTGTGCATATGCACCTACAAATGTATGCATTGCGAACGAGTACACATGTAAATGTGTCTTTGCATATGGGACCTGAGTGTTTATGGTGCTGAAAGCTATAAACCCCCGTTGCCAGAACTGCAGTGGTCACAGTGTTCAGTCCACATGGAAGTCATTTGAACTTGGCCTCTGAAAAGCTACTCTCCAAGTAACAGCCTGTGCCTGTGGTGAAGGAGAACTCAGGGCGTGAGCAGCTGCAAAATAGTGGTGTTCCACATCCTGAGATGGTACAGAGGAAGGGACAGGATCCTCCAGAGGAAGGGTGGCATAATCCCGAAAAGTTTTATGTATATGGAAACAAGGGAGGGCCTTTCTGAGCAGTGTCTTGGACTTGATAAGTATACAGACTTCAACCTTGCCAGCCCATCATGTCCCTGAGTTCCACTTGGTGCCTGCTCTGCGTGAGACCAGTGTCATTTGACTTCCATGTTGATATGGTATGGTGACAGGGAGGACCTGAGACACAGTAGCCCTATACCAGAGGTCTGGCCCACCTCCTATCTGCTTTTACACACTTCAGCCTCTGGCTAGCCTCATGTTGCAGGGTTCTCATCTCAGGTTTGCATGTACCTGCAGGAATTGGAAAGAAAGAACAGTTATTAAACCCCATAGCAGGTTGTGATTTAAAATGCCTAAGTATTCACTGAGCTCACTGTTGTATGCTGTGGACTTGACCTTTGACTCAGCTACCTCATGAGGTTCCTTCCTTCCTTCCTTCCTTCCTTCCTTCCTTCCTTCCTTCCTTCCTTCCTTCCTTCCTTCCTTCCTTCCTTCCTTCTTTAAGGCTGGAGTTTCTTTGGTACCCCAGTCAATTCTGCTTCATAGTTGAGAATGTTTGTTATATGACTTTTGTTTTTAAAACCAAAGAGAAAAGCTTACTTATATCATTGAGTGATTTAAAATTCGCAGTTTGGTTTCCATAAAGTTTTCTAGTGGGTCAAACCCAACCTTCTGGCCTTGAGAGCTCTGTAGCTCAGTTTGTGGCAGCAGGCACCCAGGAAGCTCTGCACAGTCTAGTGTCCAGTCCTTTATACCAGTTCACATTTCTTAAGCATGCAGAACCATGCAAATGAAAAATATACTCAACCTTTCCCTAAAGCTACTGAGCCAGGCTTCTCTGAAGCTTAAGAAGTCCTGGAGTAAGAAGCAGCAGTCTTCCTGTGTGTATGGAGCCCTTTGGGGCCCAGGGAAAGTGAGGTTGCCAACTCTCGGTGTGTGCAGGCCTTGCCAAACAATAGCATGGGGAGTGAAGCCTGAATATGTGTGCACATGTGTGAACGGCTACATATGTTTCCATAGGTTCTCAACTGTCTTAATTTTTGTTGCCAGTAATGTTCTTTCTCCACAGCTGCCCCGGGAATTCTGAAGTACTGGGCCTTTCTCAGAAGACTGTAATGTACCTGAAGTTTCTGAAATATTGCAAAGTTCAGGCTGGTGCTGCCAAAAAGAAAAGTGACATAGAGTTTATTTTTAAGAATCCAATAGTGATTTGTATACTTGTTTATTTTTCATTTTAAACTGAATGCATGTATAATCATGTTGGAATATGTTAAGAACTATGGAGATTCTGTAGCAAGAGAAAATATCTTTGCCTTAACTCCACTGCTGCTGTGGTTCCTTCGATCTGACCAATGCTCATACAATGATCTCAAGAGCTCTGTCTGTTTTGTAATAGTAAATGCCTCCTGTGAACACTACCTGAGGAGGAAGCCTCCCCCTGGGAAGTGTGCAGTGTGAACTCTGCCCTCCTGTTAAGTTCTCCAGCTCCAGCCATGTCTCTTGGTGTGTGTCTTGTCCACTGTTGTTGTTCTATATGGTAGAATTACCAAAAGCTATTCCGATTTCTTAATAAAGGGCAAGTCAACCAAGTCTGACATCATGCACTGTGTGTTCTTTTGTGATATCCAAAGGTCACGTGTGTTTCTCTGGAGGATCACAGTACACCTAGTCTTGGCTCAGAAGACATGCTTCTCTCCATAAGGCAGAACAGTACACGATAGGAAGGGCAGGTAACACACTGATGACTAAAAAATAAGATTGTCCTGGGATTGTTTGGGCTGGAGATGTAGCTCAGAGTAAACACACTTACCTTGCACCAAAAAGAAACACTGATCCTCTGTGGGCATAAAGTCAGATACAGAGTGAGGCTTTCCCGCAGAATGAGCACTTTGAGTCTTTGATCTCACTGGGATTAGCAGGTATACCACAGGGATACACTGACCAGGAAATCCACAGACTCATTTCAAATCCATTTTTAGTTCTTAATATGAAGGAACTCAAAACTCAATTGAAGAGCAATTTAAGGCCAGATACTAAGTTTTCCTGTCTACATCTGGTAAGGTTTAGCTTAAAGGAGAGGCAGGTGATATTGGGAGTTAATGTACATGGACTTGACCACATGCACCTGGAAGCTCCTGGCATGCTCACAGATAGTCTCCTTGTAAGAACCTGACACGTTTTTGTGTGTCAGACAAGGAACCTTGGGCATATCTCTCAAACCAGCTGTGAAGCTGTGAGGACACTGAGGTGTCAGAAGCCAGGCACATGAAAGTCCCAGGAGAACCATCATGCCTACCTGGTGGTAAGAAAGCAGAGCAGAAAAACAGGTTCCTCGGGCACAGACACAGTCCTTCTGAGCCAATGCTACTTGTAGCCTGATGTTCCTTCCTGCCTGTTTGTCACCGTGTAACCACAAGTGATTCCAACACCCACCACCCCTACACTTTGTAAACTTAGATTAGGAAATATTTCACTTACTAAAGGCTTGAACCTGAAGCCTGCAACTATCCTCTGGTAAGTCCCTGGGTAGCAGTAGCTTTGCTTTTGTAAGGGTGCTCCTTGGGGAAGCCTTGACCTCCTTAGACAGAAACCTGGGGACATCTCTTCATTACCAAACCAGGTACTTGTAGGCCATGCTGAAGATGACCCCTGGGGTCTGCACACCTGTGTGGGCACCTGGACTTGTAAGATGAGCTGGGGCGTGTTCCAGTGCAGTGGCTCGCTCTCTCTTCAAACTCAGACCTGCCATAGCCTGTAATGCAGAGTCAGAGCCTCAAAGGGAAACAAGATTCATCTTGTTAGCATCTGTCTTTATCAAGGCTGGACCCTAGGACAGTAAGCTGCAGTAGTGACAGCAAAGGAGCGTGCAAGAATGAGTACAGCCACCCTGGTGCAGTGCGGGAGGGAGCTTAGGAGACCGGAGTGTTAACGGAGGGCATCTTGAAAACAGTGAAACCTCATTTGAGACCTGACCTGGAAGTCAGTGTGGTGTGAAGGAATGAGAACCCAGGCTGAGGCTTTGTGGGGAAGCATGAAGGTGCTCAGCACTGGGAGTCACAAGCCATCCCCAGTGACGACAGAGTCGCACTGCATAGGCAGTGGTGAACTGCCGACCAGGCTGTAAAAGGCCCGGTCTGGCCAGTCCAATACTAGTACAAGTTTGAATCCCTTACTGGAGATGCTAGGGACTGGAAGTGGTTTTGATTTGGGGTGGTTTCCTGATTACAGCATTTTCATGAGCATCATGAAGTAGCTTAGGAACAGGACCCTCCAAAACTCTAAAATTGATCTGCTTCATATGCACCTTAGGCATGCATGCATGTGACACACACAGAATCTGGAGGTAATTGTTTTATACATTATTATCAGCACATCGGTATTTTGACTTTTACTTGTCAACATGAAATATCAAGTATGGGGTTTTTCATTTGTGGAAAATACCAGAGTTCAAAAAAGTTGGATTTGGAAACATTGTGGATTGCACATATCAGGTTAAAAGCCATCTACCTGTAGTGACATCCAGTTGTCACTTGTAGAGACCCTGGTACACTCATGCTCCTTTACTTCTTAGTCTAGTGCTTCTCACTGGCCTGGTATCATCTTCTGTGGCTTAACCCTGAGGTGAGAGCTTCATGAGGAGCCAAGTGTTATAGATAGTTCTCTGGACACCACAGGAACTCAGCAGACGGTGCTGGATGAGCAGGTGTGTCATCTGTGCACACAACACGAAAAGTTCTTGCCCCACACAAATGCAATGTGAAATAGTTTATTCTGAGCTAAATCAGAATGTCCATGGCTCAGGAAGGTTCAGATTGTCCTGAATGATGTATTCCACTATGAAATCTGTTACATGAATGATTTTTTTATATTTAAAGAAATAAAAGTCAAATTAATACATATACCAGACCTATAGCTCATTAGCTCAGATGTTCATGTTTCAGTAAAGTGGGGAGATCTCTGTTGGAGGCCTCAGATGATGTCTAAGCTTTTAGATCTTAGCTTTGGGTTTGGTGGAAGCTACTGTTCTGCTAAATTAATTTAATCCAAATGTTTTGCCTGATAGAATGATATTAAATCATAAGGAGATGATAACTGGCTTCCGGGGCACTAAAGAACCCAAGGTGATTTTTGGCTCTCGATCTACAACATTTCATCTCTCTGCCTTCTGTCACTCTATCCACAGAATTTTAAACAAAAACGTTCCAAGAATTTTGTTTCACACTCGTGTATTGTTGAGGATGGATTGAAGGCCCATGAAGGGGGCAACTGTGAGAAACGGTGGTACCCTGGGCCAAGTCCTGATATGGTGATGAGAACCACCAGGAGGGCAAGTAGACGGAGTTGAGAGAGCCTAGGAGAAACAGGAATTCAGTGACTTGGGAAGTGAGGGTTAGGGTCCTCTCTGCTCTCCAGGACCTTACTGCCAAAACTTGTTCTTTAATCTTCTATACTACATGGTTGTGTGAACTTCTGCATGTTAAGGTTAGATGTAAGGGAAGTGCTAAAGATGAAACTGGCAGATCTCCAAGGAGGCAAAGAGCTTTGCAAAGCACATACTCAAGCCTGTCCACTCACCTAGAACTCAGTCCCCAGGAACCAGACTCACGAGCCTTCTTGTACAAGTCCCTCTCCAATTTCCTGTCATTGAGAGAGAGATGCTGGCCTCCTCCTAGCCAAGTTATTTGTCTCATTGTCAGAACTTCTAGGAGATCAACTTAGTCCTTGAGCTCCTGATCTTACTTTCTTGTCAGCTTCACACAAGATGAGGTCATCTGGGAAGAAAGTACCTCATTTGAGAAAATTCCTCCATCGGATTATCCTGTAACTCTGTGTGGGCATTTTCTTAATTAATGATTGACGTGGGAGGATCTGACTCACTATGGGTGATGTAAGCCCTGGATACATGGTCCTGGGTATTATAAGAACGTAAACTGAGAAAAGCCATGGAGAGCAAGCTAGTAAGCAAGCAACATTCCTCCATTGGCTCTGCTTCAGTTCCTGCCTCCTAATACCTACCAGTTCCTGCCCTGACTTCCTAGGATGGATGATGGATTACAAGCTTTAAGATGGCATAAACTCTTTCCTTTCCAAGTTGCTTTTGGTCATGGCATTTATCATGGCAATAGAAAACAAATTAGACTGTGATCTTGGGAGCTGCAGCCCTTGCCCTACCTGATCTGGCTGTATACCCTGACAAGAGTGCTGTTGACACAGCCAAGACTGTGAACAGGGAAGACCTGCATGTTTCCTGAAGGCTCCATCTCCCCTTGCTAGGCAAGGCTGCTAGCTCCAGGAAGACATCTTTTTGGGTTGCCAGCAGATCACCTGTGTTCATACTACATGCTCTATCTACCCAAGCTGAGTTGACAGTAAGTCATTGTTCTCAGAGGACTAACCTTAAACTTTGGCATTTGCACTTTTCCCTGAGGAAAAGATCCTGCTCAGGGTTTAGTTTACTGCACAGTGAACGATTCTTGTTTCTGTCTTGGCAGGAGACCTATTAGTTATCCACAGATGAACTTGGGTGATGGGGTTGGGGGAGAACATGCGTGCACTCAAGGTATTTGTTTTTGTTGGTATTTTTTGTTTATTCATTTCAAAGAAATCCTTAACCTCCAGAGGAGTAACATGTACCATGCATGTCTGTGGCATGCCAAGCTTAAATACCTGAACATTCAGAGCCTCGGTTCCTTGGCACCTGGCAGTGGCTTGGGAAGCCTTTGAGCCCATATTCCACAACCAGCGCTGGTTACCAACTGTTACTTTGCATGCCAGCCTCTGATCATAGAAATAGGGAACACACAGAGAGTCACACCCTTCCCATCCCACATCAGCTGGCTCCTCCCATGCTGACCCTGAGTTATTAATAATTTTATTAAGAATGTGCTTTCAACACTCTTGTATATATATGTACTTAGCAAGAACTCACCAAGGCTGCAAAGGGCGGTTCCGCTTCCCTTATTGCCAGGGAAAGGGAGAAACAAGAAGCACTGCCCTTGAATCCTTACTTGGAAACTTCTTTCCTTTTTTCCATTCAGTGGCATCCCCTGGTCCTCAGGTGCACCAGAACACAACCAAAGGCATGGACAGTGTTAATAGATGGGCACCATCTCATGCCCTGAGGGCTGGCCACTTTCTTGTTTCCCTGTCACAGCTCAAGACCTTGAGACTTGTGATGCCAAGAAAAAGGGCAAGATTATGTCCATGTCACGTCTGCCAGTATCACAAATTAGTGTCATTTCTCTTTGTGACTCAGGCTCAAGGGACTGCAGGAAACATCTGATAGAGCTCTAAGCACTGAGCCTGCATCTTTCCATCATGGGAAAGACTTGCCACCACGTGTTCGAACATCTGCAAGTTGAGGTTTATTTTGGCTCCGGGTCTCTATGCAAACTATCGATCATAAGAGTTAGTAGCTCACAGTTAATTTTCCTGAAGGTTTTAGTTCAGGTATTAGAATCTGGCCACCAAAAGGGCTACTTAGCAGGTGTCTGAAAGTGTGGGCAAATATTTCTAATTGCATGGCTGTTGACTTAGAAGCTGGGTTACTACAAGAGGAGTTTGGAATGGATTGTTTTTGTATGTACCCATGTGCAAAGG